TCAAGGTCAACCTAAGTCTGAAATGACTTGAAAGCACCCAACAACAACAACAATCCTATCTTATCAGCCAAAAGCAGGCCCACACTTCCCATTGAAATACTAATAGGCTTATATTTATTGAAATTGTTCTTCATTTTCATTATTGTATTGTTTTAAAGTCTTTTTTGCACTACAAATAAGACATGTGCAATGTGCATAGGAATTCATTCATGTTTTTTTTTCCAAATTATAATCCGGCCCCCCAACAGTTTGAGAGACTATGACGAACGTTGGCAGTCTTTAGGAAGAGCTTGAAGACGTGGTTGTTCCAGTGTGCCTTCTCAGAATAGGAAACCCCAAGCATCATGTCCGAAATGCATTTTACTAGAGATTAAGAATGTCTGCACACCGCCCCTATTTCCAAAAACCCATCCATTTCACCTGGTCATGTCCAGCATTTTTTAAAAAATTTAATCATTACATTTGGCCCGGCCTTAGATTTTTAATTGCGTCATGTGTTACTGTTTTATGTTTATTGCTACTGTTTTGTGTTATTGCTTTGTTTTTATGAGTTTATTTGCTGTTGTTTTATTGATGTATTTGGCTGGGGAGGGAGGGGGATCGCCGGGGAAGGGGCCCTTGGATGCCACGCACGCACGGAAGGGTGGGTGCGGGGAACCCTTTGAGGGATCGGAAGGGGCCCCAAAGGCCATCCAGTCCAACATCATTTTACAGTAAAGGAAGACACCATCAAAGCCCTCCCGACAGATGGTCAACCAATTGGAAGGGAGTCCCAGAGGCCATCCAGTCCAACCCCCTTTGTCTGTCTGTATGTCCATCCATCCTTTAATCCATCAATCACTCCATCTACATATCTATCTAGCTACTACCTACCAACCTATTTATGTTCTCTCCATCTACCTTCTGTTCCATCTATCAATGTCCCTTCCATCTGCCCCTTCTGTCTATTGCTTCAACTGGAATTCCTCTCTTACCTGAGGGCCACAGCAACGTGTGGCAGGGTACAGCTAGTAAAAAATTAAATATTTACGTCCAAGGGAGGCCAGGGACCCCGGAAGAGCGGCGCCCTGAGGCATGGCAGGGAAGGCCTGCCTCCCTGGACTCCACAGATCCCAGAAGTGCGGCAGCCTCAAGCGCAGCAGGGAAGAACTGCCTCCCTGGCCTGCTGCTGCCTGCGTCGCTCTGGAGCCTCTGCGGAGGCCAGGGAGGTGGGCAGGAGCCCTTGGGATGGGCCGGGAGGTGGGTAAGGAAGCACGGGTAAGAAGATCTATATAGATCAGGGGTCCTCAAACTAAGGCCCGCGGGCCACTTCCGGCCCACCAAAGGCACTTATCCGGCCCGCGGAGGAGGAGCACCCCCCCACACACACACACAGTGCCCCTCCCTTGGCTGGCTCACGCTATCCATCAGGCCCGATGGGCAGCGCGAGCCAGCCAAGGGCGGCTGCTACGTGTGGCCTACTCTCACGTAAAGCACCTTGCGAGGTGCTTTATGTGAGTGGAGGCCGCGCGGTGCTGCTCCTCCCTTGGCAGGCTCACGCTGCCCATCGCGCCCGATGGGCAGCGTGAGCCAGCCAAGGGCAACTGCTCCTCGTGGTCTACTCTCGCGTAAAGGACTTCGCAAGGTGCTTTACACAAGTGTAGGCCGCACGGTGCTGCTCCTCCCTTGGCAGGCTCACGCTGCTCATCGCACCCGATGGGCAGTGTGAGCCAGCCAAGGGCAGCTGCTCCGTGTGGCCTACTCTCGTGTAAAGCACCTCGCGAGGTGCTTTATGCGAGTGTAGGCCGCACAGTGCTGCTCCTCCCTTGGAGGCTCACGCTGCCCATCGCGCCCGATGGGCAGCGTGAGCCATCCAAGGGCAGCTGCTCCGTGTGGTCTACTCTCGCGTAAAGCACCTCACGAGGTGCTTTATGCGAGTGTAGGCCGCACAGTGCTGCTCCCCCCTTGGCAGGCTCACGCTGCCCATCTGGCCCGATGGGCAGTGTGAGCCAGCCAAGGGAGGCTGCCCCGGCGCTCCATGCAGTCATGCCGGCCACATGACCTTGGAGGTGTCTACGGACAACGCCGGCTCTTTGACTTAGAAATGCAGATGAGCACCACACCCCAGAGTCAGACACGACTGGACTTCATGTCAGAGGAAAACCTTTAACTAGGAAAATTGTGGAAGATCCAGGGTGGGAGAAAGAACTCTTGTCTGTTGGAGGTAGGTATGAATGTTTCAATTGGCCACCTTGATTACCATTTCATAGCCTGACAGTTTTTAGGGAGAATCCTTTGTTGAGAGGTGATTAGCTGGCCCTGATTGTTTCTTGTCTGGTTCCCCTGTGTTTGAGTGTTGTTCTTTATTTACAGTTATAATTTTAGAGTTTTTTTAATACTGGTAGCCAGATTTTGTTCAGACTAGAAATAGGAAGATTTCCCATTCTCTGCTCCTGGAATTACTGCCTAAAGAGGGCTAGAAAGAACCCCCTCTAAGGGCCCTTTCACATAGCAAAATAAGATATGTGCAATGTGCATAGGAATTTTTAATTCATTTTTTTAAAAAACTATATTCCGGCCCTTCAACAGTCTGAGGGACAGTGAACTGGCCCCCAGTTTAAAAATTTTGAGGACCCCTGATATAGATAAAAATGTAATGTTCGTTTGTGGGATTAACAGAACTCAAAAACCACTGGAGGAATTGACACCAAATTTGGACACTATACCTCTAACAGACCAACAAGTGACCATCATTCATAATCCCCCCCCCAAAAAAAAACAGTGGAAAGGACTTAAAAACCCCAAAAAGAAATGATGAAAAGCTAAATGATGATACAGGGGGAAAGGGAGGGAGAGGAGAAAGAAAAGCAAAGAGCAAATGAAGGAAAGAGAGAAGAAGGAAAAGAAAAGGGGAAGGAAGGAAAGATGTAGAGAAGGAAGGAAGGAGAGAAGGAAAGAAAATAAGGGAAGGAAGGAAAGAGGGAGTGAAGGAAGGAGGGAAAGGAGAGAAAAAGAGGGAAGGAAAGAGAAGGAAGGATGGAAGCAAAAAGCGAAGGAAGGAAGGAAAGAGGTAGAGAAGGAACAAAGGAGAGAAGAAGGAAAAGAAAAATAGGGGAAGGAATTAAAGAGGTAGAGAAGGAAGGAACGAAAGAAGAAAAGGGAAGGAAGGAAGGAAGGAAAGGGAGCAAAGGAAGGAGAGAAAGGGAGGGAAGGTTGGCCACAGTAACGTGTGGCGGGTACAGCTAGTAATATATAAAATACATAAAATAATGTATAAATATTAAAATTAATATGGCGTCCCTACTTTGCGGATTTTCACTTATCGCGGGTGGTCCTGGAACGGAACGCCCACAATAAGTGAGGGAACACTGTAGACTGATATTTATAGTGTTGGATATTCCCCCCTCCCCGGTGCCATCCCCACTACCTCTCTTTACACTATCTTCGGATAATCTTGTGGGCTGAGTTGGGTTTTAATAACTACTTATATGTGGTTTTTAGCTTAGATTTTAAAAATTGTTGAAGTTTGAAATATATAACCCCTTGGGTTTGATGTGGATGTGGTCCCCCTGTTATGATCTGGTCATCAACCGTAATAAAATTTACTTACTTACTTATTCTTTCTCTCTCCATTGGTGGGGAATTTGCATGACCCCGCCCACTGCCTCTCCCTTCACCCTTTCCTATTATTTTCAATGGCACACAGCAAATAGAGGAATTGATCAGCAATTGAACATATTAGAGAGCTTTGGGGAAAATTCACCATGATGTATAGGAGTTGTAGATCCTGGGATGTATAGTTCACCTGCAGTCGAAGAGCAGTCCGAACTCCACCAACGCTGGATCTGGAACTAACTTGGTACACAGAACCTCCATGACAAACAGAAAATACTGGAGGTCTTTGGAGGGATTTATAGGAGTTGTAGTTCACCTATATCCAGAACACACTATGAACCCAAACAATGATGGATCTGGACCAAACTCGGCATGCATACTGGATATGTCCACATTTGAATACTGGTGGGTGTTGAGGGGAATTGGCCTGGACATTTTGGAGTTGTAGGTCCTGGGATGTATAGTTCACCTGCAATCAAAGAGCACTTCGAACTCCACCAACGCTGGAACTAACTTGGTACACAGAACCTCCATGACAAACAAAATACTGGAGGTCTTTGGAGGGATTTTTAGGAGTTGTAGTTCACCTATATCCAGAATACACTATGAACCCAAACAATGATGGATCTGGACCAAACTCGGCATGCATACTCGATATGTCCACATTTGAATACTGGTGGGTTTTGAGGGGAATTGACCTGGACATTTTGGAGTTGTAGGTACTGGGATGTATAGTTCACCTGCAATCAATGCGCACTCAGAACTCCACATAAATGGAATTGGACCAAACTTGACACACAGAGCCCCCACGACCAGCAAAAAATACTGGAGGTCTTTGAGGGAAATTCGCCTTAGATTTGGCAAAGTTGTAAATCCAGAGACCACAGTGAACCCAAACACTGATTGATCTGGACCAAACTTGGCACACAGACCTGATATGCCGAAATGTGATTACTGGAGAGGTTTGGGGGGAGGGGACTGACCCTCCTTTTTGGGAGTTGTAGTTCACCCACAACAAAATAAATGGTGACCTCCACTGATGAATGACCTGGACCAAATGTGGCACACAGAACTCCCATGACTAATTCAACCTACTGGAGAGATTTGAGGGGACTGACTCACCATAGTGGGAGTTGTAGTTTACCTTACAGCTAGAAAGCACACTGAACCCCACCGATGATGCATCTAGAGCAAACGTGCCCAACATAACAAACTTTAAGTACTGATGGACTTTCTCGGGGTTAACCTGGTACGATGGGAGTTCACCCACAATGTTATGCATTTTGTACAATTAAAAAATTAACTTTTTCAAATAGCCCAGGCAACGTTAGGTACCCAAGCTAGTCAGTTTATATACCACAGTCAAACCAATGCTCTCTTGGCCTTTGTTTTATCTCTGTCTGCAGGGATCTGACGAGAATTATTTGGAGAAGGCCGAGCGCTTGTATTCTCAAATGTGTGCCACAAGGGAAAAGGTGAGTTCCCACTTATTAATGAGACCTACAATTATATTCTGCAACTATATTCTACCAAACAAATGCCTTTTTCTTCCCAGAACCTGATGGGAGACCAAGAGCAACTGAAGATCCAAGTGACAGAGCTGGAAGAGGAGGTCAGCACCCTCCGGAAGATCAACAAGAACCTCTTCGATTTCTCCAGCCACATCCTCACCAAGCCGGGCAAATAGGGCAGACGCATATCACTCCAATTTGGCATGACATTTCATTCCTTATTCTTGGGCATGGTTTCCATGTGTCCTTGTGGACTGTTACGTGTATTTTTTGAAGACGTTTTTTATCCAGAAATAAAGAAAACATAAAACAAAAGGGCAGATTTTCATGAGAATATATATATAGAGAGAGAGAGCGCTAAAGGAGACATCTGTCTAGGCACTAGGACATGCTACAAAACTAAATCAAAAGCAGACACACTAACCTAACACATACGGAACGTACAACCACAGAGACAATTCTACAAATGTCTCACTCAATATCTGTTGGGTTTTTATGTGGTGGTATTATAATTATATTAGACTGAAATATACAGGATGGGTAAGGTTATAATCATGATGAAATCAGGCTTATATTGTATTGTCAAAAGCTTTCATGGCTGGAATCACTAGGTTGCTGTTTTTCAGACTGTATAAACTGTATGGCTATGTTCCAGCAGCATTCTCTCTTGATGTTTCGCCTGCATTTGTGGCTGGCGTCCTCAAAAGTTCTGTTGGAAGTGTATATATATCCCTGTGGAAGAAAGAATTGTTGTTGTTGTTGTAGCAGCTGCAAAGTCAATCAGTGAGAGTCTCTGTATGGCGGTAATGAAGCAAGTGGAGTGCATATGTCTGTGGAATAATGTCCAGGGTGGAGGAAGAACTATTGTCTGCTTGAAGCAAGTGTGAATGTTGCAACAAGCAAGCTTGAATAGCATTGATGCTGCAAAATCAATCAGTGAGGGTATCTCCATAGAAGTAGTGAAGCAAGTGGGGTGTCCATATCCCTGTGGCATAATGTCCAGAGTGGGAGAAAGAACCCTTGTCTGCTTGAAGCAAGGGTGAATGTTGCAACGAGCAAGCTTGAATAGCATTGAAGCTGCAAAGTCAATCAGTGAGGGTATCTCCATAGAAGTAGTGAAGCAAGTGGGGTGTCTATATCCCTGTGGAATAATGTCCAGGATGGGAGAAAGAACCCTTGTCTGCTTGAAGCAAGTGTGAATGTTGCAACGAGCAAGCTTGAATAGCATTGAAGCTGCAAAATCAATCAGTGAGGGTATCTCCATAGAAGTAGTGAAGCAAGTGGGGTGTCCATATCCCTGTGGCATAATGTCCAGAGTGGGAGAAAGAACCCTTGTCTGCTTGAAGCAAGTGTGAATGTTGCAACAAGCAAGCTTGGATAGCATTGAGCAGCCATGAAGCTGCAAAGTCAATCAGTGAGGGTATCTGCATATTCATTTCCTAGGCATTGAATATTTGCCTTTGCATGTGTAAACCACCCCAAGTCCCCTGGTGGGGATAGGGCAGTCTAAAAAGAAAGATTTGTTGTTGTTGTAGCAGCAGCTGCAAAGTCAATAAGTGAAGGTCTCTGTATGGTGGTAATGAAGCAAGTGGAGTGCATATATCTGTAGAATAATGTCCAGGGTGGGAGGAAGAACCCTTATCTGCTTGAAGCAAGTGTGAATGTTGCAACGAGCAAACTTGAATAGCATTGAGCAGCCATGAAGCTGCAAAGTCAATCAGTGAGGGTATCTCCATAGAAGTAGTGAAGGAAGTGGGGTGTCTATATCCCTGTGGAATAATGTCCAGGGTGGGAGAAAGAACCCTTGTCTGCTTGAAGGAAGTATGAATGTTGCTACAAGCAAGCTTGAATAGCATTGAGCAGCCATGAAGCTGCAAAGTCAATAAGTGAGGGTATCTCCATAGAGGTAGCCTAGCCTTTGTTGCCTGGAGGCACCCTCTGTTTGGGAGGTGTTCATTGGCCCTTGATTGTTTGCTGTCTGGAGTTCTCCTGTTTCTGAGTGGTGTTCACTGTTTATTGTCTTGATTCTGGTGTTTTGTAATAAATACTGTTTGCCAGATTTTGATTATTTTAATGGTTTCCTCCTTTGTGTTGAAGTTGTTTACGCGCTTGTGGATTTTCAGTGGCTTCTCTATGTAGCCTGACATAGTGATTGTCAGAGTGGTCCAGCATTTCTGTGTTCTCAAAATAATATTCTGTGTCCAGTTTGGTTCCTCGACTAGAGAAGTCAGTGATAGTGGAGCAAGTAATAAACCAACAGAATATTATGTTGTGTGATACTGAATGCATAAGGATGATCAAACGGCAATGAAGCAAATCAGCAATTTGAAAACATTGGCCTAAATTCTGTCGCTAAGCTGATACACCTATTGAATTGACGAGATCCATTTATGCGTTGGCTTATCATGCTATAATTGAACATTAGGGAAAGCTAATCAGGAGAAAATAATCCTGCGATTGTTGTACTAAGTGCAGTAGCACTGGATTAATGTCATGGGCAGCGATCCTTATTTGCATGTATACATATATTCCAAAAAGAATGGAGTTCAGTCATCCTATGAGATTGCCCTTGATTGTTTGCTGACTGAAGCTCTGCTGTTTTGGAGTGGTGTTCATTGTGTTGTCGAAGGCTTTCATGGCCGGAATCACTGGGTTGCTCTGAGTTTTCCGGGCTGTCTGGCCATGTTCCAGAACGATTCTCTCCTGACATTTCGCCCACATCTATGGGAGGCATCCTCAGATAGCAAATTTCTACATGGTACACTTTGAAAAACAAGACTTGGAAACAGCAACAAGAAATCCCACATTTATTTATTTATTTATTTATTTATTTATTTATTTATTTATAGTATTTGTATACCGCTTTTCTCACCCCGAGGGGGACTCAAAGCAGTTTACACATAAGTAATGGCAAAAATCAATGCCAGTACAAACAATTACAATTATACACTACAATTAGACATAAATCAAGTTAAAAACGGTGCATCCACAAGCAATAAAACCATCATTAAAACAATAAAGCAGTCAAGTCTGGCGAATCACCGTTCCAGTCATTGTCTTTCTGAAATGCTGCATACATTTACTTCTACTGCCCAAAGGCCTGGTCCCAAAACCATGATTTTAATTTTTTTTCTAAAAGCCAGGAGGGAGGGAGCAGATCTTACCTCATTTGGGAGTGTGTTCCATAGGCGGGGAGCCACAGCCAAGAAGGCCCTGTCTCTCGTCCCTGCCAGACGCATCTGTGCTGTTGACGGGAGCGAGAGCAGGGCCTCCCCGGATGATCTTAGATTACGAGGTGGGACGTAGGGGTGAATGCGTTCGGACAAGTAAGCTGGGCCAGAACCGTATAGAGCTTTATAGGTCAAAACCAGCACTTTGAAATGGGCTTGGAGATGGACCGGCAACCAGCATAGCAGGGGGATGGTATGCTCCCTATATGCTGCCACAGTTAGAAATCTGGCTGCCGCCCGTTGAACTAGCTGAAGTTTCCGAACCGTCTTCAAAGGCAGCCCCACGTAGAGCGCGTTGCAGTAATCTATTCGGGATGTAACCAGAGCGTGGACCACCATGGCCAGATCAGACTTCCCAAGGTACGGGTGCAGCTGGTGCACGAGTTTTAGCTGTGCAAAAGCTTCCCTCAACAAGTTCCTGGACCACGTCAACAACAGCCACCCAAACATTTAATTCACCATGGAAAAAGAAAATAAAGGAAAACTGCCATTTCCAGATGTCCTGGTTATCCGCAAACCCAATCAGCAATTGAGCCACACAGTTTATAGAAAACTTACACACATGGATAGATACGAGGGTCTGCTGATAACTCTTTGGCTTTACCCAGAAAGAAACAAGATAGGAAGATGAAACTTTACATTTATTCCACATACTCTCCACTGATAGCAACACATCGGTATTCCAAGTTCTGTAAGTCTTGCAAAAAGAAGGATTTTGGTCATGCCTCAAACCAGTCATCCGTAGCAGACATGGCATTAGAAATGGTGTGTAATTTGGTACCCTTGAGGTGTTTCTTCAGGTTTGGAAACAGGATATATACACTCCACTTGCCTCACTACCTTTATACAGAAATCCTCGCTGATTGACTTTGCAAACTTCATGGCTACTCTATGCTAGTCAAGCTTGCTAACCGCAACATTCACACTTGCTTTAAACAGACTAGAGTTCTTATTCCCACCCTGGACATCATTCCACACACACACCACTTGCTTCACTACCTCTATGCAGATACCGTCACTGATTGACTGTGCAGCTTCAAGGCTAGTCAAGGTGGCAAATTTCTACATTCATATTTGCTTCAAACAGATAAGGGTTCTTTCTCCCACCCTGGACATTATTCCACATGGATATATACACTCCACTTGCCTCACTACCTCTGTGCAAAGACCCGCACTGATTGACTTTGCAGCTTCATGGCTACTCAATGCTATCTAAGCTTACTAATTGCTACATTCACAGTTGGTTTAAACAGACAAGGGTTCTTTCTCCCACCCTGAACATTATTCCACACACACTCCACTTGCTTCACTACCTCTATGCAGGTACCATCACTGATTGACTTTGCAGTTTCTTTGCTGCTCAGTGCTATCCAAGCTTGCTCATTGCAACAGACAAGGGTTATTTTTCCCACTCTGAATGTTATTCCGCAGGTATAAATACACTCCACTTGCCTCACTGCCAACAGAACCTCTGAAGATGCCATTAGCCACAGATGCAGCCAAAACGATAGGAGAGAATGCTGCTGGAACATGGCCAGACAGCCTGGAAAACTCACAACAACCCAGGGTTTTATTTGTTGGGAGAATGTGATCAGCAGTTAAAAAGGCCAATATGATTCCAGGCTGCATCGATAGGAGTCTAGGTGGAGGAAAGTCATAGTCCTGCTCTATTCTGGAATAATATGTACAGTTCTGTTCAAAGCAATTCAAGAAAGAAAGGCTGGAGGGACACCGAAATGATCCAAAGTCTGGAAGCCATGACTCCCTCTGAGGATTGTTTATCTTTGAGATGAGAAGGTTAACAAGAGAGCTATGTTTCAGTATTGGAAATGAAGTCCCACCAAGGAGGAAGGGTCAAGCTTGTTGAGAGACGAAGACACAATGGATTCCACCTAAACATTAAGAAGAACGTCCTGATGGTGAAAACTTTGACAGTCGGGTAAGTGGCATCATGGAGTCCCCTTCTCTGAAGATTTTGAAGCTGGGCGGCCATCTGTTGGGAGAGATTAGATGGTGTCATGCTGCCTGGCAGAATGGGGTTGGACTGAATTGCCTTTGGGGGCCCCTTCCAATTCATGGTTGCTT